TTTTGGTACATAATTTTCAGACATTTTCCTGACCTCTATAAGTATCAGACAACAGATTGATAAATCTAAGAGTTTATGCTGAATTTTTCCATTTTTTGTCTGACAAAATCCAGATATGCTGCATTCTGTTTTTCAAATCTGACCTTTCAAAGCTTTTCTTTAATGTCACATTTAATGGGTCTGGTAAGCACATATAGAGCATTTGTCTTTAATTATGGTTTATCAGAGGGAAAATTTCTAAACAGCATAAATTTAAAGGCAAAAAAATAAAGTTTTGTGTGAATAATTGGGTGCAATCTGCAGAATCTGAGTTTTAGAACTACTATTTAAGAACATTGGTGCAACTGGTGTTCCACTGTTTTAGGAGAAAATCCTTTCTCCACAGATCTTTGACTGAAACTTCCCCTTATTAAAAACTTTTTGTAACAACTTTCAACTGAGAACCTGATTTGCACATACTTACAAATGTAATATTAACAATATAACTGCATATGGTGACCCCTAATAAATATCTGTAGACTTGGAAGAGAAGTACACAGAAAAAGGAACATCATGCTGATTTTTCAAAATTACTTAGAGCTTCTCCAGGAAAGCTTTCTTATTTGTTTTTTCCTCAAAAATACCAGATTTGAGCCAGGCACTGGTGGCTCATGCCTGTAATCCTAGCTACTCAGGAGGCTGAGATCTGAGGTTCACGGTTCAAAGCCAGCCAGGGCAGGAAAGTCTATGAGATTCTTAACTATCAGAAAACTGGAAGTGGCATTGTGGCTCAAGTGGTAGTGCTCTTGCCTTGCATTAAATAACTCAGAGATAGCTCCCAGGCCTAGAGTTCAAGCCCCACGACCGACAAAAACAACAACACCAAAAACCTAAAAACAAATGAAAATACTGGATTTGTACACAAAATGAAAAATGACATTTCAAAATTAGATATGAGTATGCTTCCCTAAAAAATAAAAAAAGAAGCATTCAGAAAAAGTTTAGGCTTTCTGTTCCACTAAGAAGCTCCAGCTGGGTGTGGGAATACATGCCTATAATCCCATCATGAGACTGATGTAAGAGGATGTCAAGTTTGAGACCAGCAAGTTCAAGGTAAGTCTGAGCTACATGATATACTTGGTTGCAGAAAATCCGTGACTGAGTGGGTCCAACCCCAGCATCCTTTAAAATAAAAATAAAAAGCAGCAACATACCTTAAATTAGTTCAACCCAACACATGAAAACTCAACACATGGAAGAGGGAGAAAGAATATGTGGACAGGACATAACTCTGTTTTAGATGTTGCAAGTACATCTAAACAGCTTGCTTGTACCTAAATGCTTGGAATTTCTGATCACTTTATAGATTAGTACATATTAGGTTTTGAGGTCTGAAGCAAAGAGGATTTCTTCACAAGGAAATTGGTAATCAGTTTATATCTGCTCATGCCCTTGAATTAACAACTTCTATATTAACTTCTTTACAGTAACAATTAGGGGAAAATATATGTACAATGAATAAGTACATAAATATAAAAAATGATGTTTTTAGATGCTGTTCAATAGCAGCACTGAACTGTGGTTCAGAGAAGGAAGAAATGAATGAGGCAAACCCAGTTTATTGTTTGGGGAAAAGATCTCAGCTCTCATAGTGAGAAAGGTTTTCTAAACAGTGTCTAAAGTCCTTCTAAGATGAAGACACAAAGGGGTCTGTTGAGGCTGGGGTAGAATCTGCAGAGCAGGTGATTGAGAGGAGACAACTACACAAAGAGAAGGCTCTGGAGATCTACTAGAACTCTCCCAGCTGGGGTTTGCTGATCTGCGCACAGGTAAAAGAAAATAAGCCAAGGTGCAGGAAAGAACTACTGAAAAAGAATGGAATAAACAATTTCAATAGCTCACACAGGGCTAGAAATTGTGTGTCTTCACTGGTCAGAGCGTGATACATGGAGCATTGAAGAAGTCTGGGAGGGGTAATAATGCCTTATTAATGGAACACAGTAAGTGCCAGAGTAAAGCTTGTTCTACAGTGTCATAATAAAAGATACAGGCAAGCTTTGAAAGAATACAGTTAATCTATGTTATTTATCTACGTACCAGAAGAAAATCCAATACTAAGTCCAGGGCCCACAAAATAAAAGATGTATAACATCTGCCATTCAAAAAATGTGTAAAAATACAAACAAAAGGAAAGCACAAAGAATAGTAGTAAAAAGGAAAAATGAGCTGCACAGCACTGGCTCATGCCTGTAATCCTAGCTACTTAGGAGGCTGAGTCTGAGGAGCATGATTCAAAGCCAGCCCAGGCAGGAAAGTCCATAACTCATCTCCATTTAACCCCCAAAAAGCCAGGAGTAGAGTTGTGGCTCAAATGGCAGAACACTAGCTTTGGAAAAAAAGGTCAGGGACATGGCCCAGTTGTTCAGGTCAATCCCCAGGATTGCCCTTCTCTTCCACCCCTACCCCCAAAAGAAAAGTCAATCAATGTAAAGTCTTGGAAATGATAGAAAGGAAAAGACTAGAAAGCACCAACTCTAAATAGCTATTAAAATAAATATAATCAAGGTTACTCAAAATGGAGGATAGAAAATAGAGCATAGTTCTAAATATGATAAATATATTAAATTAAAAATATTACAGTATATTAGAATGATAAAATTATTTAAATTAAGTACTGAAAGGACAAAAGCAAATAGGAAAAAAATTAAACATTTAAATTTAGAATCCAAAGCTGCATCTAAGGGTAGCTTCTGAATAGTATTAAGAGATTTAACACAGAAAATAAGTCCCAGAAGGAAGCATGAGAGTTTTAAGAAATAAGGTCCAGAGCAGGAGAAGGAACTCAGTGGGAGAACACAGGTCTTGCGTTACATTTCTACCACAATGGAAACAAGAGAACAGTTAAATTTTCCCAAACTGGTGAAGAATTTAAACATATAAATGCAAGAACCTGAACAAACACCAAACACGAAAAAGCACAAGGAAAAAGCATAAAAAGACACCTCATAATAATAATGCTGAAATTCAGGGAAAAGAACATCTCTTGAAAGCATTCACAGGGAACAAAACCATGTTAGGTAGAGAGGACCGAAACAAAGGTAAGAGGGAAAACAGACTTGTCATCTGAAACCATGCCAGGTAGGAAACAATGGCACAGTATTTTAGAATACTGAGAGAAAGAAAATGCTGCCAAAAATTCCAAACATATTACACATTAATTCCTCAAATTAAGGTGAATTACAGAGAGCTCAGATGATAAAACATGAGAAATTTCTTGTCAGCAGGCATAGGGATAAAAGTAAAGAATATTTTTCTATTTAAAGAAAAAATATTTACAAGTCCACTGTCTCTACTCCCTAGTACTGGGATTATAGGAATGTACCACCACCATCCTGGACTTTTTGGATTCACTTTAATTACTCGTGTGTGTGTGTGTGTCCCTATTTTTATATGTATTCATCAATCAGACACTATTTTTCAGTTAGCCTATGGATTGAAGCTATAACCATCTTTGACTGGAGGGAAAAATCACAACATAAATATCAGTCTTAGAGTTCAAAGCTGCAGCTGTTCGCATGGTAAAGGGAGATGAATATATTTGTGGTCTTAAGTAGAAAATCATATTATTTTCAGCTTACATACATATTGTATAAACTCAATGTATATAGATGTGTGTGCCCAATGGAGCCAAATATGATTATCTATTGACACGTCTCCCCAAAACTCCCTTTCTCTGAGATCTGCATGTTATTCCTTCTTGAGAAAATTTCCCCTAACTATTGCAACCAAATGGTGCTGTCAATCATGGCATTTATCCCCTTAGTCACTCACATCAGTCCTGTCCTAGAATGTACTAAATTAAGAGAGAAAAATTAGGATGTTTTTTGTTACTGAAACTCAACACATCTGTACGGACCCTCATAGCAATGTATCCAGCCATATCTAAGGAGCCTCATATGAAAGAAAACACTAAAATATACATCATGCAGAGATGGAAATGGATAGTATTCTGGTGATAATCTTTTATTTCCAGGTATGTCCTTCGCCTAGGTTACTTTCAACTGATGTCACTTGCATCTATTGGAACTTGACACAGTGTTGCTAGAGAAAAAGGAAATCTGCTAGGCTCATAGTACCTTCTTTAGGAGGTACTCCTAAAGAACTTGCATTTGGTATCAGCCCGTATCAAGGGCACTACCATAATATTTCTTCTAACTGAAACCTACATAAAATATGCTAACATCTTAACAAAAAGTGCCCATCCACAAATAAAACTGTGCTACTATCCACCCCTTCCCTTTATGTCTCTTTCTATAATAGGTAGTTGGGGACACTCTGGAAGCAAAGCCTGGTTATTTCGTGCATACGTGTCAGCTTGTCTTAGCCTATTCAACTATGTCAAATTGTCATTTCACCCTCCACAAAATTCTTCTAGCTATGTGAACATACTCCATCTCAAGCTTACATTTGCTCTCAGAAAATAATCAAAAGACATCAAATATGGGATTCCTTCATGTCCTAGCAATAATTATGTCATGCTGTCTTGTCATCTGAGCATCTTGTCAAAGGCCAACCATTGGGCCTATGCTTTGGATATGAATTTCCTCATTTCTTCTTTTGTCTCTGAAGCACTGTGCCACTGATTAATCTGTTTTATAAATTCAATCTTTCCTTCAACCACTAGAAATGTAAACCCCATGATAATAATAACTCTGCTATTGTATTTGGTGCCTAGTACACAGGCAGTAGTCAATATTAGTTGCTGAAGCCCTGGTTATGCGAAAAACTGAGAGACTGGGAAATGAATACTCTTCATTTTAAGAGCTTTATAATACTGTTAAAAAAAGATCAAGCAACAGGTGGGTCTCTTATGTAGAACTAGAGGCTTTCTCAAACTTCAAGAATATTTCTCTAGATAAACATAATTTCCTCATTCTTGACTTTATTTCAATAAATCCACTTTAAAATTTGAGCCTAAAGATGAAATAAATGAAACAAAAAGTGACAACAATGATGCTTACTCTTCTTTCCATCCATATCTGCATGGATTTTCCGAGCCAAGAATCCACTTTTGTACACAGCAGCATTTGGGTCATGAGGAATGTCCAAAAATGGGTTAGTTGTACTGCCAATTCGGCTGATGGTCTTTGGATGCGTTCCATTGGCCTTCTCATCAGTACCTTCCGAAGGAGATTTTTTTTTCTCTTCATCATCTCTGTAATAAAGTAAACAAAAAAAGTGAGCCAAGAACTCCACAATATTCAATGAAAAAGTGTTTTAGTGTAATAAATCCTCTGATTTCCTAACTATCTATCGGCATTGGTAGCAGCCACCATAATCACAATCAGCATTACTGAGTGTGGCCAAGGACTAATGATCATCAATCTAATGATCATCAACAGTAGCACTGTCCATTACAGATAAGGAAACTGATTCAGCAAGTTCAAATAGTCACCAGAGACCACAGATGTATAATAGAAAGAAGAGATAATAGAAGTATGGTCATAACATCTCAAAAAAACCTCTGCTTTTTTTTTTCATCTACTTAATGTTTGTCTTTCATGCAAGTGGGAGCTTTGGAGGCAGGGATCAGGACTTCGACTTCTGTGTATCTATAGGGCTCTTCATAGCACTAAGCATATAGAAAACAAGAATTGATTATAGGTTGACCCCACTGGATAGCAATGAGCTATCTCTGCCAAATCACAAAAACAAAACAAAACAACAAAAACAAAAAACAGGATAATTCCTAATATCCAAATCCCAGGTAAAACTGCCAGTAGGAACATGGTGCCATGCACAGTACTGTAGCATCTTAGGGTGCTATTTTCCCAACACAGCACTCTGACAGCCACTATGAAACCCCCAATTGCCTTCTCCCCTTTTTGGGAATCTCTACTTTTTCAACCAGACATTTACATCTGTAATCATAACACCTTTAAAAAAAAGGAGGGGGGGGGGAAATAGGGAAAAATTAAGAAGCAGATTTGGTAGCAATTCTAAAAATCAAATTAAGAAAGCATAATAAGAGTCTGTCTTAGCTCAGCTGCCTCAATTCAACTGCTTCCTTTGTCTATTAAACTCTGATTATTGATTCTTTACAATCAACCAAAATAAGTACCACCAAAGTGTATTTTAAATATACCACAATCATGCATAGGTATTTGACGATAGGGTTCTTCCACTGGTTTCTTGTGATTGAGAGATACATGAAAGTAAATGTTGACTCAAACATCCATACTTCAAAAAAAAAAAACAAAAAAAATCCATACTTCACTTTTATTTTGAAATAATTTTAGTCTTGCGAAGATAGTACATTGAGTTTCCATATGCCCAGCTTCTCCTGTTCACATCTTATATAACTACAGTATAAAAAATCTTCTAAATTAAAAATTAACATTAGTGAAATACTGTGAATTGAACTTGAGAGTTTCTTTGCATTTCACCAGCTTCTTCACGAATTTATTTTTGTATTCCAGGATCATTTCCATGAATGCACAGTCTACTTAATTTTCATATCTCTTAGTTTCTCTAGTCCATAAAAGTTCCTCAGTCTCTCCTGAGAGCTGAACATAGATCAGTTACTTTATAGAATAACGCCAATTTATGTTTGATGTTTTCTCAAAACCTGATTAAGGATGTGCATTTAGGGGGAGGATAAACACAGGTGAGGTATTCATATTAATGCACTAGACAAGGTGGGTGTAGTTTTTATTACTGGTGCTATTAACCAGACTATTTGATTATAGTATGTGACATCTTGCCATAAAGCAAGGTAACTATTTTCTCTTTTAACTGCTTTGGGGGAGATATCTGGTTTCTCCTTTACCTTCTGCTCACCTGTGTTAGCATTCAAAAATAAATATTGCATGTGTCAATTATTATTATAGAATGGTTCATTCATTTTATATTCTTCTCTAAGTATGGAATATGAATATGTATATAATTCTTTGGATTATAACCCAGTCTGTGGTAACTACTGGTCTGTATTCTTGGTCTATTTTTTGAATTTGCAAAAAAATGCATTAAAAATTCCCTCATGCTTTGTGTCAATGAATAGTTTTTTTCATTTTTTAAATAAGGTTTTTTATTGTGAAAATACTGTAGAGGGGTTACAGTTACATGAACAAGGTAATGAGTACATTTCTTATCCAGCATTGTTGCCTCCTCCTTTGTTTTTCCCTTACCATCCCCTCCCTCCCACCTCCTCAACTACATCCCCCCCTGCCTAAATTAGGTTTTTTCCATTTTATGGATACACAGTTTATTCACCTTACAAAGTACTTTTTGAGTAGTTTCTAATTTCTATATCCTATGACAAAAGATATTTGTCCTTGCAATCATCACCATGTTAATAACATATGAACCTTCATAGATCACAACCAATCTAGAAAGAACATTCTAACCTTCGGATAGGTTATGTACTGTCACCATTGAGATTTACACTGTATAGCTCAGAGCAAGCATCATATTCAATAGTGAAAGGTTGAAATCTCTTCCTATAGATAAAAAACAGGACCAGGTGCAAATATTCATCACATCTATTCAACAAGCCCTGCAAATCCTAGCACAGCAGTTAGGCAAGATGAAATAAGAGGCCTTCATTCTGGACAAGTAATAAAATTGCCTTCACCAAAAAACTTAGAATTGAGGGAAGGGTGACACTGTCCAAAAAGAAATGTACTCATTACCTGACTTATGTAATCTTAATCCCTCTATACATTGCTGCCATAATAACACTTAAAAATTTAAAAAATATAACCTATAAATTCAGTAAAGTTGCAAACTACAAAATCAACATACAAAAATCAGTAGTGGGGCTGGGAAGGTGGCTCAGTGGTAGAGCACTTGCCTTGCACGCGTGAGGCCCTGGGTTCGATTCCTCAGCACCATATAAGCAAAAAGAAAAAAGAAAAAAGCCAGAAGTGGCGCTGTGGCTCATGTGGTAGAGTGCTAGCCTTGAGCTGAAGAGCTGAGGGACAGTGCCCAGGCCCAGAGTTCAGGCCCCACGACTGGACCAAAAAAAAAAAAAAAAAGAGTCTCACAAAAATCAGTAGTGTTTGTATACAACCAGCACCTATCAAAAATTAAGAAAACAATTCAATTATAATGGAATTTGACTCCCCTTCCCAAATAAAATAAGTGTAAATTTGATAAAGGAAGTAAAAGATCTATGTACTGTAAACTATAAAACACAGACGAAAAAATCTGAAAGACACAAATAAATGGAAGGATATACTGTGTTCAAGGATGAGGAAATTACTATCCAAAGTAAGATACAGATTCAGTGAAATTTCTTTCAATACTTCAGTTTCATTTTGCACACAAACAGAAAAAAAATTCCTAAGATTCTTATAGAACCAGCAAAGACTAAACAACCAATGCATTCCAGAGGTAGCTATAAGCATCACCACTGAAAACTGGTATATCCCTGAGGAAATCAAAATCTGTACATGCATAATTCTCTTATATAAAATGGTATAGCATTATATATAACCTATGCAAATAGTCTGTACTTTAAATCATTTCCAGATTACTAAGAATACTACAATTTAAATGTTATGTTAATAACTGTTATAATAGTTTAGGGAATAATGACAAGAAAAAAAATCCATCCATGTCTAATTCATATACAGTTCCTTTTCAAATTTTTAGTCTGTGGTTTCCTGAATTCACATATGCAGAATCCACAGATAGGGATTATGGGCCAACTATGTATTATAAAGCTATTATAATCAAAACAGATGGTGCTAGTGTTAAAATCAGACACATCAACCAATGGAATAGGACAGAAAGCCCAAAAATAAACTCAAGTATTTGCAGTCAATTGATTTTTTGGCAAAAGTGCCAAAAGCACACTTTGTAGAAGAATGGCCTCTTTAAAAATGGTTGGAAGAAAACTAAATATTCACATTTCCCCAACGAGAAATGGACCCTTATCTCACACTATAAACAAAAAACAACTCAGGAGGAGGCAACAATGCTTGATAAGAAATGTACTCATTACCTTGCCCATGTAATTGTAACCCCTCTGTATGATATTTTCACAATAAAAAAAGAAAAAGAAAAAAAATGTAAGAACACTTAAAAGTAAGAGCTGATATCATAAAGCTGGTAAAGGAAAACAGAAGAAAAGCCTCATGACATTGGTTGGGTGATTTCTTGTATGGACTCCAAAAGCATAGACAACAAAAGAAAGAATAGACAAATGGGATTCTATTAAAGTATGGCATTTCTGCACATCAAATAACTGAATAAAAAGTAGTGCTTAGAGTGTGAAAAGAATTTTTTGTAAGCTACACATCTGGTGAAGACCTAATATCATATATATATATATACACACTCACACACACACACACACACATGTATATAAGTATATATATACCCACACATATATATAAGTATATATATATATATATAACTAAAAATCTTAACAGTAAGGAAATAAACTTGATTAAAACTGGGCAAATACTTCTTAAAACAGATATAAATGGCCAATAAATGAAAAAAAAATCCAGCATCTCAAATCATCAAGGAAATGCAAACTAAAATTACAATGGGATGCCACCTTACACTATAAGAATGGTTATTATTAAAACAACTATGATAAGCATGTTCAAGCATGTAGAACAAAGGGAACTCTTACACAGAGTTGATGGAAGTGAATATCAATATAGTCTTCAGGGAAAACTGAATGAAATTATCTATAAAACTAAAATGGAAATACTATATGATCCAGAACTCTCACCTCTGGATAATATACATATATACATATACATATGTTTATATAATAAAAGCAATGAAAGTAGAATATTGAAGAGATATTCATAGTTCTATGTTCATTTTGACTCATCATCTACAACAGCCACAGTAAGAGACAATCTATGTGCCCATCAATGGATAAATGGATAAGGACAACATAGTACATAAATATTAACAGATATGATTTCATTGACAGATACTATTTCATCTTCTGAGGTTTCAGTAATGTGAAAGCAACTGTTATTTGGCTACAAGTCATATCATTATAGAAAAAAGAATAGAGTTCAATAGGATATTTTGAGAGAACAGGTCAAATATTTTCTGTTTCTAAATTCTGGTGGTTTTTTTAAACTATTTGATTTTTTCCATCTTGGAAGTTTCCACATATTTTGGAAATCAGATTTGTTCCTCATGTATGTCCAGCTTTGGTAATGAACCAAGACACCATTCATA